CACTCTTCTGGGGTGTTTCCAAAGCCAGCGTTTTGAAAGTCTTGACTGACCTTCTGGAAATATTAATGTATGGTTTTCATTTTGGTGCTCAATTTATCGTTTTCAATCTTTAAATGACGTATTTGAGCCTCAGACCTCAGCAAATCTTCTTCTTTATGGGTGTCCCTACTGATGCTCTTACCATTGACCACTTTTGTATTAATCTAGCCGAACCTTCAGTTAACAAACTAGGTTGATCATTTATCCTAAACTCTAAGATTCCATGATCCAAAAGACATTGGACTCGATATTTTAAGGCAAGGCAATTCTCAATGGTATGTCCTTGAGCTCCGGCATGATATTCACAATAAGCGTTGATGTCATACCAATTCGGATACGGAGGTTGAAACGGCTTCATATAATGCAGAGCTACTTCTTCTGCTTCAAGTAGCTTCTCGTACAACTCCTCATATGATATAGGGATAACATCAAAATAAGAACCACCTTTTGTCTTGGATTGAACCTGAGTTTTAGACGTCGGGAGCAAATTAAACTTCGATGATTTCAGATTGTATGATTTCCTCTCATTTCTGGGAGCTTTTAAAGTTGTCACCATTTATTTGGTATCTCCAGACAATTTGTTAATACGAATGATGACTGTCTATAATTTCTTAAATTGGTTAAGATATGAAGTTCCTTGCATATATGAAATTGCAAGGTTATATTCATTGAGATCTCCCTCTTTTTGTGCAGGAATCTCTTTTCCTTTGGCCAAAACATATATTCTAACCATCATCTTGGACATCTGCTCTCTTATTTCTCGTATATCCTTTTGCTCTTCAATGGGCATACGATCTTTGGGTGTATAGCTCTCCTCTATCTTCAGAGTTCCCTCAGGATGTCATTCCTTGGCTGCGTCATATTTTGCTTGATCATAAAACTTTTTGTCCATTTATGAAAACTTTCCAATTTAATGAACAGTCTTTTAAATCAACACCTTTTGGTTATGCCATGATCATGCAATGCAGACAAAAGAAATCAATATAAACAAATTAAAGCAATGTAAAAAATAAAATAGGAAAAAAATAAAAAGGTTAACACCAATTAATGGAAAGAAAATATTCTATCTATCATGGTATAAATCCTAACCTCATGTTTTCTAGTTTCATGCTTTGTTTGGAAAATTAACCTAACCGCATGATTACTAGTTCGTATGCATTTATTCAGAAAAATAAATAAATTTAAAAGACAAAAGCTAGAGCTTATTTCTCCTTTGTGTACACCTATTTTGGACAACATTTCGGCATGGTTTCATATCGGGAGAGTTTCTAGGGTTTACTATATGCAGAGTTTCAGTTCTATGAGTAAAGGTACTCGAATTGTCATTGTTGGTGTCCCATTGGGCTGTCGAACCCTCAATCCTGGTCCATTACAGACTTAAAGCAGATCGAGTTCAATTCGAGGGGACACATTTCTCTATGCCTGACACGGAGAATAAATTCTCACGAAGACATAGAGCATATGAACCCCAAAAGTTACTTGCTAGGTCTGACACGGAGAATAAATTCTCACGAAGACGTCGCTTTCACTCCCACTTAAAAGGGAAAAGCTCAATTATAAAGCTTATGTTATGCAATGCAAGTGTTGTGTGTGAGGAGAAATTTTCACACAAAAATTAATATCTAAAAAGCAATTAAATACAAATAAATATACAAGGGTATAAAATAATTTGAAAGAAATAAAAAGAATCATAAATTAAATAAAATTGAATTCTTAATTTCTAATTATAGAGACAATATATATAATCGACTTAGGTTAACCAGGGTCCCCAGCGGAGTCGCCAAGCTGTCGTAACCAGTTTTAGCCCGGGCAGGAAATTTTACTTTGGCGGGAAAAATAATGTGGATAAATAAATGGTTTTTATGAAATGTTTTGGGAGTCGGCATCGACCTTTTTTTAGTAAGGTAGGTCGAATACCTAAAAATCATCTTTTAAAAGAGTTTTTAAGAAAACATCGGTTAAAAGATAAACTGATCTACGTTTAACCAAAAATTCATTCTTTTTAATAATAAAAAGGGATTTTTGGTCGGTTACGTTTGGGGAAGGATTAGCACCCCACAACGACCAAAATTGGTCATTGTCGATTATAAATTGTCTATAATATTAGAATTTAAGAATTCAAATATAAATTTAATTTATAATCCTATTATTTCGTATTTTAATCGGATAATTCTAAGGAAGAAAAAATATTAAATAATTTTTATAAATTATAAATAAAATATTTATTTATTTAAAACATCAGAAAATGACATCTAGTTGCTTTAAGATTTCCCTTTCTTAATATTTGAAAAATAAATAAAGATTAACAATAATAATTTTTCCTAAGAAATTAATTTAAATAAAACAATATGTATTTTTTATTTTTATAAGTAGGATATTTATTTATTTTTAAAATACCAGAATATGACATCTAGTTATATTAAGACTGCCCTTTTCTTTGATATTAAAAATAAATAAATATTATTATTTAATTAATTGGTGAAATTAATTAAATAATACTTATTAATATATATATATATATATATATATATATATAAATAAGTATTATTTAATTAATTGGTGGAACTAATTAAATAATACTTATTAATATATATATATATATATATATATATATATATATATATTAATATGACTAGAATAAAATAAAAATAATAATCAAAGTATTATATTGAAATTGAAATGATAATAAATTACATTGCAATTAAATAGTGACTAAAAAACATAAAATTAAAATAATAGGATTAAAATATAAAATATTAAAATTCATGGTCAAAAATGAAAAGAATTAAAAAATTAGTAACTAAAATATAAAATATAAAACCTAAAAGTCCTAATTCAAATTATTATAAAATTCTAATGCTAACAGTGTAATTTATCCATAATTAATTATTCGGGATTAAAATAAAAACAAATAAAATTAAAAGGACTAATCATGATATTTTACCTTAAACATATAAATATACAGGTAAGGAATAAAATAGAATAAAATAAAATTCGAAGACAATATTAATATGCTCAGAAATGTAATTCCAGTTACTAAAACGTAAAATTATAAAACTTGAATGACTGCGGAAAGGGTTTTCCCATTAGAAAATTACACATATACCCCTCCCCAAAACGACGTCTTTCGGGGAGGGGTATAAATACCCATTAATCGATCCTCTTGGACCAAATTTTTCATTTTTTTTCATTTTCTCTCTAGGAGAGAGAATTTCAAATTCTCTCTCTCCTCTCTCTAGAAACCTCCCACCGGAGGTTGGCTGGCCACCAGCCGGCGGTCAAGTTCCGACGCCGATCGCCACCGCCGGGCACCATTCACGATGGCCAGAACTCTGGAAAATGACACCGAATTTCCCTCTTTTAACCCTAAGGCCGAATATGGCCTCCATTTCCCCTAAAAATCCCTGTAATTTCCTAGATCTAAGAAAATACCTTCAGTATTTTCAGTTCTCTGATGACATTTGGGGTTCTCTGGCAAGGTAAGTTCTTCTTCTTCTCTCCTTTTTCTTTTCTTTGGTTTTGTTGCTTGCTGTTGGTGTTCGTCATTGATGTTCGTGCCTTTTTCTTTCGCAGGATCGGTGGCTTTTATAACCACCACGAACCTTGCCACGGACCGGTTATAAGAATGGCCCTCGGTGAGTCACTGAACCTCTAGTGGTGACTCACAGTAGGGTCTCGACGTGGGTGGTCATCTGTGCTTTCTGGAAGCTTCTTAGAGGCGGTGATGTCGTGGCTGCAGCGGGTTGGGTCACCTGGCAGTGGGAGCGTCGGCAGTGGTGTGGCAGAGGCGGCTGGAAGCTTGAGGCGGTGGCGGCGACGCTAGGGTTAGAAACCCTAGCAAAAACCCTTAATGGGTTTAGGTTTCCATCTGGTTTGGGCCGGTTCTGGTTGTGTAAAACGGGCCTCAGGATCTTGGGCTTGTAATTATAAATAATAATAATAATATTATTAATAATAATAATAATAAAATGAAAATGAAAAATTAGTGTCTACACATGTACAATTGGATTAACATCTTATGAAGATGATAATGAAGGTCTAATTAAAAATTTTACCCCTTTAGTTTCTAAATGATGATAAGATACTCCCTTTAATTTATGAGAATCTGGTATCCCATTTTACAAAGTCTGAGATGTTAGTCTATTCGTTTGTAAACACATAAACCGGAATTGCATATTTTGGTCCGTCAACTTCAACAATTAATATGCAACATATTAATCAAAGTTAATGAGGTAGAATTCACTTACGGTATATAAATTTGATTAATTTTACATAAAAAGATAATCAATGGATGAATGATTTCTTTTTTCTTTTTTTATGTAGCAATTGGAAAGGAAAAATTGATACTACTAATATACAAAGTTTAATCTCATTCATTCATTTAGATTCATCTAATAACTATATTTTCATGTAAAACTAATCAGTTTTATGATATGTAAGTGGATTATATCCTAAAATTAATAATTAAAGTTTGTGTTTACGAACAATTAGACTAATATTTTAATTTCTGTAAAGTTTGAGGATCAAATTCTTGACAAATTAAAGCAAATAGACAAGCTTTTTAGCTACCACTTTCAGAATTTTTTTATGAATTCTAAAGTATGTTTGGTATTGCATTTCGAAACCCGTAAAAGGGTTTAGAAACATTACTCCATTGACAAAAGTCTTAGTTTTAGTAAAGTATAAGGATCGACTTCATGTCTTTCGTAAAAGTAGAGGGATGGAATTTAGAATTAAACCTAATAATAAAAGATGGTTTTATTATGTGTGGTATCGGTTCTTAGGGGTATATCTCCCCACAAGTGTTATTCAATTCCCTGGTTTCCTCTCTCTCTTACGACAGTGACATAGCACAGTGTTCATCATCTCTGCTGTCTTTCCCAGGCTGTAGTCGTCCTTGCTTTGCCTTTTTTGAATGCTAGCTAGTTAAGTATCAAAGCAAGCAACAACACAGAGTTTTCGCTTGCAGATCATGGAAGCTGTTCAACGGAAACACCATGATTATATTGCTTTTTTTAGAGATAAAAATGTTGCATTATGATTCATGTGTCATTCTCAAGTTTGCTACAACCATCTAGCTAGCTCCTTAGGGTAGGGTTGTTTGATTGTTTCCGGTTGCAAAAAATCTCTTGAAAAATGTTTCCTTCAAACGGCAATGGCTGCAGCAGTGACCCAATGGCACATTTCGCTGCAGATCCATCACTTTCCTTCTTCAATTTCCCCTCTCCTTATAACAACCAATGTGAGCTAGAAGCACTGCAAGACTATGATGTTTTTCTCCAACAAGACCGTGATCTATTACTTCATAACCACACCTTGTTGGCGGCTGATTCTGTCTCGGCCGACACCATCACTAACGTGCCTGATTCCAGCAAGAAGAGCAACGATGCAAGCGAAGTAGGGAAGAAGACACCTGGGAAGAGATCGTCGAGTTCCAAGAGATACCTACACAGCAAGATTAACACGGCGAACGGGCCGAGAGACCGGAGAATGAGGCTCTCGCTTGACGTTGCTCGGGAGTTCTTCGGTCTGCAGGACATGTTGGGCTACGACAAGGCTAGTAGAACCGTCGAGTGGTTGCTCATACAGGCGAGGCAAGAAATCAAGAGGCTAGCGAGAACCCATGCCAACGGCGGCGGCTTTGCATCCGCCGCAGCAAAGAGCCCTTCCTCGACATCGGAGGGTGAAGTGTTATCCGCAGCGGAACCTAAAGCGATAGAGAAAAATATCAAACATCAAGCTAAAACCACTTTCAATCCACTCGCGAGAGATTTAAGGGACAAGGCCAGGGCGAGGGCAAAGGAGAGAACAAAAGCAAAGAAGATTTTGACTCAAACGCCATGGGGTTCCTTTGAGAGCACTGCTGAAGAATCTGGTAATCTTCAACAGGTTGAAGAACTCGGCTCTCGAGGCATCGAGCACTTAAGGATTAATCATGACAATATGATTGATGAATCTTCGGCAGTTCTTAATAAATGGAGCCCGAATTCGATTCTCAATTGTCTGCAAAACTCTGGAATTAACCAAGTGGTAAGTCTCTTCAGCAAAAGTTTCTTGATTTTACCTAATTATAACAATGAAAAAACCACCTTCACGTATGATGAACACACACACATATATATATATACACACACATGTATTTGTTTGTTTGCAGCATCAGGTCACAGGCTTTCTGTCTTTCGGCAAATCATAGGAGACCTACAACAATAGCAATCTATGAAAACGTGGTTCACTAGAGGGCATATGGATAAATTTTAGAGGCATCATGCACTGTTAATTGCTTACTTTCTGTATGGTATGTAATATGGTATGAACTATGAACAAGCTTTTCATTTCATTTCATTTCCCCCCTCTGTAACATATTTCGGATTTTGTTGTGGACTGATCTTTTAATTGTTAATGATATTATGCTTTTCCCTTATCTTAGCTTTCATCGTATAACCTTAATTAGAACAACCGAATCAAAGAGTCCGATATATTAATGTTGGTATGATCTTATTGGATATATACCACTTTCAAATCATGTCATCTCTTCCAAGTAACATTATTCCACTTTCAAACCATGTTTTTCAATGTGTAAAGGAACATAAGAAGACATGTTTCAACATACCAATCATTTTGTTCTCCTAGTATTTCACACTACTAGATATATACCTTAAAATGTGCACAAGCAAGACATATATATATAGAGAGAGAGTACAAATTATGGATATTTTTCATTTATGATAGAATTTACATGTCAACAAGATACTGATTCAGTGACAATACTTGGCATAGGTTGTGTAAACCCTTCGATGGTTTGGAAACCACTTAGGCATTAGATGAACTTTTCCTATAGGAAGTAGTAGCCAATTAGGTTGTGCAAATATTTAACCATGTTTTTCTTTTTACAACTCAAAACCATTCCTGGATATGAACACACATACTAAGAGGTATGCTACATTATCTAAATATCACGAAATTATTATTTTCTTATTAAAAGATATATTTAATAGAATATATAATCTTATCATTTTTGAAATTTCAAACAAAAATTATGATGTATAATTAATGTCTTTCGTCTCTCTAAGGTGTGACATAAGCACACGCTAATAGGTATGTTTACATTTGATATATTATCTAATATGATTTTGTGAATGCTATGATAAGATGTAATTAAATATTAAAGTATATAGATTTATTTTTAATCAATTGACTAACAATTATAGGATTACATTGTCCATGTATTGAATATGAAATCTGATTAAATTAAAGATAATTATTATATTAAAAATTATTATTATTTTGAAATAAACCTATTTTTTAAATAGCAATAGATTAATTTTTTTTGGACAGTACTAAACTAGGTTAGGGCGTTAATAACAATAAAAAGAAGTCTAAAGTAACACAAAGCCAGAGATGTCATCGTTATTAATGGAAAATGAAAACATCATAACAGAATAATTTCATTTTTTGGTGACAAAAGCAATCACTTGACAATTGATGGGAAATTAAAAGCTCTAATACTAATACTTTCCCAAATATTTGTTCTTACGTACTACGGAGGATGTAGATTTTTATATTAATAGTGTGAATTTTTAAAAATACTACATTAAAATTTTAAGGAATGTGAACTTTTAAAATTTTAGGATATATAAAATTAAATCATTAATAAAAATTATAAAAAATACTTAAATATAATATAAAAAAAGATTTTTTTTTAAAATTATGAAAATACAATTGGATATAAAAATCAATTGATTTAAAAGCAACTAATTCAATAATGTAAAAAAAATCCAATTTAATTGGTCTACCTTCTCATATAAGTTTAATGCCTAAAGTTTCCAACGAAGCATTATGCCCACTGGCCAGCATCTTCAATAGTTTGCACGCTTGATGCTTCCATGTCTAATGGAATTTGGTGAATATTCAATAACCTTTTTTGTCGATGGGCCATTGGTTTTTTGTGAATATTGAAAAACATGTCTAGTTATGATAATATTATCTAAAAATTTTAAATTTTTATATAGTTTACGTATTTATTTATATTTTTATTGATGATCTAATTTCACAATATTCTCTAAAGTTTTATATTTTTAAATAGCTTTCTTACACTCTTAATGTAAAATATGGTGTTTGTTCTTATTTAGATAGTAAATTCCGAGAGTAGTATAAGAGTTGTTTTCCAAAGAAATACAAGATATAGAAAAGCAATAGAGCCCCATGATATTGGTCATTCTTGCACTTAATTGATCATATGTTGAAACTAGAACTCACCTCATCATTGATATGCTACAACAAATGTTACCCATTCCATGGGATAGGCTCCTAAAGGAAGTAAAGGTAAAACACGTGGAAGACAAATGAACCTACAAAAAGAACAAATAGAAAAATCATATATATATATATATATTATGTTTTAGTTTTTAAAATTAATATAAACAATTGATATTGACTCATTTAAAATATGGCTTAGTTCAATTTAAAATGTAAGCGAGGTTTAATATGATTATCAGGAGATTTTCAAACACAAAAAATTCAAATGACAATGTATATTTACTCTCAAGTCATTTGTCCAACAAAGTAATGAAAAGAAATAGGGCTTTCCTACAAATACAAAGAGATCTTATTATATCCTGTATTGGCTAACACAATAGATAAATCCATGTCTGTCCTATGACATCTCGAGACAAGAGACTCGAACTATAAATATCTAAACCCCAAGTACTCTTAATCTCTCGATCATATTTTAATCACCCTACTTAACAATCTTCCGTCTTGAACTAAACGGGATGAACGGTGAGATTAGGCATTGCAATATTGCATCCCCAACGGTAACAGTGGGAGTCAGGACATTGCACAAATCTCATAAGATTTGAGTGCTGGATCTACCCATATGAAGTGAATAAGTGTCTGTCTGAAACCACAAAAGGGAAAACAGAACGAGTACTTTGACCCCAAACTCTTTTGATCATTTCTTTAATTTCATTTCTTCCCACCTCTCCTTTTGAGCATACGCAGTTAAACCCCTCCATTGAAGCTTTTGGACCTGTCCTCCAAATCCCACCCTAGTTTACAGAGATGAAGCGAAAACCCTAAAGCCGCTAACCCCTAAAACTGCTGTTTCCCAGTTCTCTCAGCTTAGAACACAGATCAGGCAAAGAGGAAAGACCCTAAGTTTTTGGGATCCCATTGTTTTAAAGGTTTGATTTGTGGTCAAAATTAACCTAAATTATACTGCGTGTTGTGTGTGTGTGTGTGTGAGATAGAGAGGGGGATCCAAGTTATCAGCAGCAAACCCTAGATAGACCCCAAAACCTAGAACATGGAAATTGAAGATCTGAGTCATCGGGGGGTCACTTCTTGTGAAACCCTAAAAGGAGATGTAACAAGCTTTGAGGTTTCATCATCAATGGAAGAAGAAAAGATGCGCTTTAAATCCGTATGGCAGAAGCTAGGGATTATTATGAGTGGTTGGAACAATTGTAGTGGTGGAGAACAATTACAGAGGGTTGAGTGACTCCTCATACCAATCAAAGGACACTAGCTCTTGTTTATGTTACTGTTTTTTTTATATTGTATGATTTTGTTAGAACTCGTATTTGTCATCTATGAGACTCGAATCTTGATATACAATTGAATCGTGTTGGTTATTATTATATAATTTACACATATAGGTGGAATTTATTAAATTGTATAAGTGGTAAAGATAAGTGTTGTTCTTTCTCAATGGTCGAGTAGTTATGTCTTAGGGTGTCTATGCGTTGTCAATAAATTAAAAAATATATTTGAACAAATATTATGCTCATAAAGATTAATGATTTAATTGTATTTTACACATATAATATTTTTAAAAGGCATAATACTAAAATTAGTCCCCCAACGTTTATCAAATTAGTCATTTTCCCCCTATTCAATTTTTTAAAGTGTTTTGACCCCCCAACTTTTATTTTAGGACAAAAATATCTCTAATATTTGATAGAATAATCAATTTGCCCCATATTCTTTTTTTCTGAATATTTAGCTCTCACGTTTCATTTAGGTTAAAAAAGTTCTTATATATTTTGGAGCCATGATCGCATGTTAACTAATTGTTTTCATTTATAAAGAGAGTTTTTTGTCTTAAAGTGAAACGTTAGGTGCTAAAATGCTCTAAAAAATAATAAGGGTCAAAATAACTATTTTAGTAAACGTGGGAGATATTTTTAGCATTATGCCATTTTAAAACCATTAAAACTAAATCATGTCTCATTCTAAAAAACTAGTTTTAGAATTAATGAATTAAACATGTGAATTAACCTAAAAGTAATCAACTATTTTATTAGTGATGTGAATTAAGACAAAGAAACATGTCAAGTTCAAGAGTACTCCTTTGCAACAATCATTCTTATCATCTCTTCGAGTTCCAACAGTTTTGTACTGTCATTTAAACATCTGCAACCCATGTGTTTTTGGTCCTGTCTTGAACCAATTACCATGTGGATCATCAAGTTGATTCATATTTCTAATAAATGCATCCCCACTATCTTTTGCAAAAGGTTGTTCTCTCATCTTATCCTGACTCATATAGACATCGCATGTCTTAACTAAAATTTCCCAAGTTTTTCTACACACCCATCATAGCATTTGAATCCTACCCACGATTATCCTTTGTTTATGTCACTTCATGTTGACTCAACACTCTTCACCTCTTGGTAGCAATTATCCCTATAGAGAGAGAAAATTACACTATATCAAATAAGATATTTTTAATTTTGGACTTGAATTTGATTCGATCTTGTTCTCAAAATTCTATTTAATTCAAATTTGACTCTAATAAGATCGATTCAGATAAGAACCCGTCAAATTTATATTAAATTATCATCACTAATTAGATCCTCAAACCTTCATATATTAAGATAATTAATACCTATTTCATAAGTTCATCAACCACTCAATTCTATCCTCATCAAGGCATCCAAGCCCCTCAACCTCACCTAGGATTCCAAGGCCTAAACTAGTAATTTTCGTTCAGTAAAAACCATTCCTCCTCGTAAGTAAATTTTGTACCATTTGACCTAAGTTCTTCCAAAAATCAATCACTTGCTAGTGTCATTTATAATCCTATTTACGATACATATGTGTCGTTGCTACCAACCCTGGAATTACAAATTAATCCAACATGCATTTTAGGACAGAACAAAAGCACAAACCCCTTTGTTCTAGGTTGTCTCA